CACATCTGATTGGATAATATATTGTGTAGTGTAGGATGAGTCATCAGTTATATTAGTCGAGTTCTCCAGAAGATAGATACTGGCAATTTTATACGTTTACATCTGATAATGGGTAGTTTGTTTGAAATGTTTTTAAACAGGTTTCTATTGTCTTCACTGAAGGATTCATTCTAAGGCTAAAAGGCTGCATTTACTTAAGCCAACACAAAGCAAACAGATGTTTTCTGTTATTAACCATTGATGGTAAGTTATTCCTGAAATGGCAAAGCAGTATTTCTAATCTTCAGTGTCACATGATCCTTCAGAAGCTATATACAGTTGAAGTCAGAATTATTAGGCCCACTTTGAATTTTTTTTTCTTTTTTAAGTATTTCCCAAAAGATGTTTAACAGAGCAAGGAGATTTTCACAGTATGTCTGATAATATTTTTTCTTCTGGAGAAAGTCTTGTTTGTTTTATTTTGGCTAGAATAAAAGCAGTTTTAAAATTTTTATGAACAATTTAAGGTTTAAATTATTAGCCCCTTTAAGCTAATTTTTTAGATAGTCTACAGAACAAACCATCATTATACAATAACTTGCCTAATTACCCTAACCTTACCCTAACCATATTAGTTTACATCCTGTGTTTTTCTGTCAATATGGGGTGCTGTGTGTACATTAGTGAAGAAAAAAATTGCTTGAACGATTTCATTAAATGGCTGCAATATATCAAAGTGTGAAACATTTAATGGGGTGTGAATACTTTGCATACCCATTGTATGTGATGGTATTTTTATCATTTGAGCCTATAAGATGCGCAAAAAAGTCAAAAGACAGGAGGGAATCCTTCCATCACATTTCCGATGTCTGTATTGAATCATAATGACACTATATAAACACAGAAAAAAAACAGGAATGCCTAAGCTTTCTGTCTATTATGTTCGCATTTTGTGACATGTTTTTAGTTCGTTTATATACTTTTGGTATGCTGTTTCTTTTGAACCACACCGTTTTAAAGCATCTTAACAGTTTATTTTAAGTCTCAGTCAGTCCAATTATATTAGTTAGAAATTGATCAGAGTTTTAATAACTGTTGTTCACACTTATTCTAATGAACAAAAGTAACAGAACAACAATTCCATAGTTTTAGTTTATCAAACCAATGTGTTTGTTACATGTAGTCAGTGTTACAGTGCATTACAGTAACTGCATTACTTTTGATTGTAACTAATACTGTAATGCATTACTTTGTAAATGTAGTAACTGCGTTCTCATTACAATATGATGCGTTTGTCTGTTACTTGGTAAGTTAATTAATTTTGGCTGCAGTCTAGCCCACATCTTACTGTTTACAGCAGCGACTCATTGTGAGATTGGTGGATGCCAACCAACCACCGTAAAGAAGACGTGTGTATAAGGCACTAGACTGGACAAAAGTCAAGTGAAAGCAGAGATCAAATGCACCTTAGGTACAGCAAGCGTGTGCGCGAGAGAGACTGAATGCGCCTGAGGCAGACAGAGTGTGAGTGCGAGAGAGACAGAGAGACTATTAACATTACTACTGTTAATTACTATTACTAATACCATTATGTTTGTTGTTTCAAATAAATAAACACACATTTGTTTTCTGTATAACTACATTGATTAGTTTAGTAGACGCAGTGACACATTTTTTTGTTATATTTCAGAACACGTGATTTAAATGTATAGTGTTTTATTGCTCAGAAAAAAGGCTGTGATTTATTTTTTATAGTTTTATATATTTTTATATTATTGTTATACAACAGCAGATTTTGCACTTTTGAATACACACAGCTTACTTTCAATTCAAGAGTTCACACTTAGCTGATGATTTACAAAGCTTATTTGGCATGCTGTCCCGGGAGAGAGCCCCGAGCTCAAGGGCTCCTCGAGCCCGGGGCTTCCTCCCGTTGGCAGAGCAAGAAGGGAGCCTGAGCTCGGTGGATCTCAGAACTCCCCTGCCGCTGTAGCTAAGGGAACGTAAGGAATTAGACCAGCTTGATTGTTAAGTATGTTGAATGTCTTTGGATGGTGGGAGGAAACCGGAGAGCCCGGGGAAAACCCACGCGGACACGGGAAGGACATACAAACTCCCCACAGAAACACTCACCGGTCCTATCGAACTAGGACCGGCAGTATTCTTGCTGTGTGGTTCACAGTGCTAACCACTGGACCGCCGTGCCGCCCAATTACAGGTAAAGGAGGAGAATAGGGGAGGAGGGGGGTTTCTTCCAAACGAAGATAAAGTGAACTGAAAACTTAGACTATTTATGGTGCCTTAGGGCTCATATGATTGGAAGATTAGTGATTAGCAAATGCGAGACTGGACGTGATAAATCATAAGCACGTGATCCTCTCGAAATTAGTTTATGAATAAACTTCACTAAGTTGTTGACATAATATGTTTAATTTGTGGTTAGTTTGAAAATTACTCATCGATTTTGTTTTTGAGCAGCTGTTATGTTTTTGTTTTGTGTAAAATGCATCAAATTTATGGCTCTATAATAGAAGGTTTTTGGTGCTGAGATTCACCAAATTGATTCTGAATGATAATTCAGTGTATTTTCATTTATTTATTTCATAAAGGTTTTGTGTTTGTTGTATATTGTTGCTATTTTGTTGTATATTGTTTTCATACTCAAGCTGTGAAAGAACATGTTTAAATACAACAACTTTTATGACGCTGAAGCAACTGGAAGGGAGTCACACACCAGAGGCGCCGCTCGGCGACACGCTTACGCCTGTTTCACACCGCAAGCGTCAGCGGCGCGTGAGCAGAGCGTGAGCATCGCGTGTGTTTTCGGCGTCCATGTTAACAGATTAGAGCTTTCATACCGCACGCAGCAGCAGCGCGTCAGAGCGAGACGTGAGCGTCGCCGAAGCAGCAGTGCAGCGATAGTTTCGGCGCTGGGTCTATTTTTGACGCGCTTCTCACGCTCAAATAAAGTGACAGTGCATTGATAATGACCAAAACACATTGAATGACAGTAAAAATTAGCAATTTTACCCAATAAATGCGTTAATAATGTCAAATGGTTTATATATAGTCATTCAAATGAACTTAAAATGATTAAAAACGGCAACAAACATTTATTTAGGCCCGAACTACAAAACCAAATGTAAAACAATTTTACTATCAGTTTTGCTTAAGTTGCACACTAGTGTTGTAGGAGAGGGGAAATGGAATATTTACAGGATTTGTAGTCCATAGCGCAGTGTATTGTGGGTAGTGTAGTTCGACACGCATGCTGGATTATGTGAGCTCGCTGTGTTTTGTGCAACTGAGCAGAGCAAGAAAGTTTTAATCGGCTTTGTTTTATGTTCACTCGAATTATTCCTACCGGGAGCTGTTTGCACTGTGAACCTGACAACACGAAAATAAGTAAAAGAATGGCATGCATTGGTTACTTTTGTCCGTCTCATCCTCTGCACGAGCATGAATTAACGAGCTGTTATTCTGCCGCTGGACATCACTGAAGCGGAGAAAGTAACACTAGTTTGTATAAATATCATTATTACTATATTGTATAAATATGATTATAACTAGGTCTACAGCAACCTGATAATCAAAAAACAAATGACATGATAGAACTGGCGATTGTCTTCTGACTGTAGACACTTCTCATATAAGTTAGCTTGAGAAGCAGACAGCACTATTTGATCTATAAAATTTGTAAAATAAACATTTGCAGGTTAAAGAAACAGCATAGGAAGGGCCTTGGTGCAGATGAAAAGTTTAAAAAGTGTATTTGTATATAGAGAGACATGGGCAAGTAGATAGAATAGACAGAGATAGGTTGATCTCTGCAGCAGCTGTCGAAGAGCTGCGCGCTGCAAACGCAGCTGGTGTGAAAGGCAAACGCCTGCGTGCTGCTACTGCTCGACATACGCGCTGCTCACGCTCTGCTCACGCGCCAATGACGCTTGCGGTGTGAAACAGGCGTAAGTCTGCATGCAGCGGCATGCATTTTAGAATTCTAAACATAGGTTTCTATCAGGGTACACACACCGGTGCTGCAAGTCGGCAGCTGTCCGCAGTGCCCGACCACGACTCAGGACACTGTTCATATTTCTGCAGCACCACAGAGTGCCATCTGAATAATTTCATTTTACTGTAAATAGCGTGCAAATGTGTGCAACTGGTGTGCAATACTTTCAATTGTCATGTGCGGGTTGTGTCGCGGCGCTGAGCAGCGCATCCGGTGTGTGACGCCCTTTAGTTTTAGCTTTTTGTTTCTGAATATATTATTCAGCTGGTTTATCACCCTGTGATTGTTTAATTTTTGAACTCCTGGCCTGACGTAAATAAATTAGTGTTTAAAAATTACTTTTTGTTTTAGTCTGTCTTATGTTTTAGTTGTTAGAATGCAAATGAATTAACTGTAAAGCTGATCAACAGTGTATTCTCCATGCAGCACTGAAGTGACATTATAAAGGCCTTAATGGGAGCATTAAAAATGTTCTTTGGAAAAGTAACTTAAAAATTACTTTTAACAGTATCGCTTTACTTTTTGGTGTAAGTAATCGATAAAATAATTGAGTTACTTTTGAAGGTAAATAGTTACTATTTTTTAGTAACTAGCACAACACTGCGTGTAGAGTCAAAAACATAACAATGAATTTGTTCAGATAAACCAAACTCAGTTAGAATGCCTATAAAAAGAAAACTCAAGATCACAACTTCACTGCACGTCATTTTGTTTTCATTCACATTCACACAATGCACCCAAACACACCCAGTCAGATTCTTCCCCTCAAGGCACGCTCTAAACACCACTAAGGATTTGGACCAGATTCGAAGACTAGATTGTAAAAAAGAGAAAGGGGATATAAAAAGAAACCCTGTTCTCCACAGTGTGTGCGACGGTGAGTTTATTTTCCAGTTTTTACAGCCTCAAAATAAAAAAGCTCCACCAAAATAATCAAGAAGTCAAAAGGAGCAAAACAAGTAAAGCGAAGGGGCTTGCTAGTGATGGTTAATGAGGACCATATGCCTACCTTCACTGGTAGCTGCATTCTTTGGAGCTTTGGTTGATGTCTGATCCGTACTTGAACTCAGGTCGGAGGAAATACTGGAACTGCCTTTCCCTAAAATCACAGAGAACACCCCAGGACACGTCAGGACACCCGCACAATGCAGAGTCAACATTCATCTTTAAAAGCCAATGAAAGAGTAAAATAATACACATGCACTCAGCAAAACTCAGTGTCTTATATATATTTGCTCACAGTTGACAAAATAGTGTATTAATAATCAGTAAAGAATGTATAAATAAAATAAAATGGATGATTGAAATGTTTAAAAGAAATGAATGCCACAGAATTCACAGAATCACAGGATAAATGCCGGGCATTCTCTTTCTGTCCATCACAAACTTAAAATAACAAACCAGATGCCTCCCACAGATACTCCCCAATGGCAGAGGCTGAAAACTGAAGCTCTCTACAAATCACATTACAAGGAAAACCGAGGCCAAAGAAACACAAAACCAGCTAAACTAAAAATTAAGTGTACAAGAGGTACTATTTGATTGAAAAAAAAACGACATATTATATAAAGACTATTAGAGTTACTAGAAGAGAACAAGAAAAAGAAGTTTTTTTTTTTTTTTGAGGGGATGATGACATTATTTGGAAAGCTGAGAAGCCTTTTGTTTTACAACGTCTGAAAGGTTGATTCCAAATTAGGAAAGATGTATCGTAAACCCAAGACTCGTGTTTCTTCCAATTTGGAATTTGATTAGCGTGTAACGATTGCTGTTTGTTACTGATTTATCGACACAGCTGATTAACCAGCAGAAAAACATTTTTTAAAACATAATTTTACTGAACAAAAACTAAAACTAAGAGTAAAACTGTTTGGTAAAAATTATTTTAGTAAATGGATTTTTTTAATAATGAAAAACTAAAACTAACAACATCCAGCAAACAATTTTGTGTAGACAGCTTGGCTAAAGCAAGGCTAAACTTGAGCTGTCAGTGAAAATCTAATAAACATCTAATAATAGCCCAAAACTCTACTAGTTGTCAAATAGACAGATCAGACACAGTTTATATTTGTAGTCATTAATTTCTGTTTATTTAATGAATAGTCTAGTTTTGGTCTATTCTTAGATGTCTATTAGATTTTCACTGACAGCCCACATTTAGCCTTGTTTAAGCCAAGATGACTATGTTTAGATGTCTATTACACATCTATTAGACATCTTTAAAAGCAAAAAATGATATCTGGGCAGTCGCTGAAAAATGGACCAAAATAAAAAAAGCAATCAAGCAAAAAATATAAGCATTTATGGAATTATTAAGGAATCATTCTGTGGTGAAAATCTGACCTGTGACTATTTAGAGATACATTTGTGTGCTTTTAGGTTAAATGTCTGTTCAATAATTATTTTAGATTTAAAGGGCACCTATGAAAATTTACTTTTGTAAGCTGTTTGGCCATAACTGTGAGTAGGTATACTGTTATATTGGGGTGAAGAAACACAATGAGTCTCTCCTTTAATATTTTTATTTTGAATGTATTTAGCTGTCTCCCTAGTAAAGCGTATAAGTATATCCACAAGACAGAACACGTGCAAAGCAACAGGGATAAAAAGATCTGTTTAGCTCTCTGTGATCATCTGCACCTCAAGAATGAGCTTACAAGAAAAAAAATTAAATCAGTGCAGGTTTGTAATAAAGAAAAGACAGTAAAATTGCTATGTAATTCATCACCACAGCATCATAGTGTCAGTACAATGATAAAAGAAGATGCTTAAATGCCAGTTTCAGGACTAAAAGCAGGTTTATTTTGTACATTTAGATTATGAATGTCCATACACCAGAGTATATTAACGTGTATCCTGTCACATTTGCTGTGCAAAAACAGTGCAAGGCTAAACGTGTGTGTGTGTGTGTGTGTGTGTGCGTGTGTGTGTGTGTGTGTGTGTGTGTGTGTGTGTGTGTGTGTGTGTGCGTGTGTGTGTGTGTGTGTGTGTGTATGTGTGTGCGCTTTCACATGTGCATACTTTATAATGATACCGTGTGTGACTCATCATTGCCGAAAGCTTGAATTAACTCTACGACAAATATATCAAATAACAATTGGGAAAGTTCTTACTGTAGTACTGGAGATTCATTCTTGTCTGTTACTGTACTGTTTATCTATGTGGGACACAGTAGGAGAGGCTACACACATCAGAGCGATCTCAATGGCTGTTTCTCAATTCCAAGAACGCGGAAAACGGACTTGCCAGGTCACCTTGGAAGAACGAATTTGGGAGACCGCGAGTACAGAGAACGTCCTGTGAGAAATGAGATCTTACTGATGGTCACATGACCTTCATGTGTTTAAAAAAAAATATTTAAACGTTAAAACATTCATACAATACTTTTTATATACTATACAATACTATACAACAATACTTTGGACAATACAAATAAAACAAATTTTAAAACGAATTTCAGCAAATACACACCCTTAATGTGTTTATATTAAGATTTTCATGATAACGTTTACTTTGTCTCTTTTAGGGAAACTCCTGAGGTAAATAATTTATATCTCTGAACTTTAAAAATGAATCTATATTAAATGCTGCGTTTCCCACCTCCTTTATTCAGTCACAATGACTTCTGGAAGCAAGTTCGATGCTCAAGCCTGCAACGTTGCGTCCTTGATACCAAGAACACATCCGGGATTTTTCACGCGTCAACGTTTTTGCAGTCTTGAGTCCGAAATTTGCTGGTTGTTGATGATGTTGCATGAGAACACGGGGACGCAAGATCACTGAAGAACACATATTGATAAACGATGGGCGGAGAGAACCAGCTCATTTGCATTAAAGGCACAGGCAACAAAAACAGCTGTCTAAACAGCTCAAATTTTCCAGATTCTGAAAGGTATAATTAATAATCTGATGGGTATTTTGAGTGGAAACTTTACAGACACATTTTGGAGATACAAAAGACTTATCTTACGTCTTGAAAAGAGGGTAAAATAGGTGTCCTTTAGTACTAAGAGATTTACATAAGAGTTGATGTAAGCTAGCAAACACTAAACATTGCTCTAGTTGTCTTCCTTTAACTCTCGTATAAACTAAAATGACTAAAATTGAAAATAAAGAATAAACAAAAACATGAATGACCTAAAGTAAAGTTGACATTTTTTAAGATAAAAACTGTATCAAAAACTCAACAACTATAATAACCATGTGGATAACTCAAGATGTAGTGGTGTGAAAGTTTCCTAAACACTCCTATTTGTTTCTCTGGCACTTTAGGTCATACACGAGGCATGTTTACAGGCTCCACGAGAGAGCAAACACAAGCAGAGTTCGCATCAGCTTTGATTTGACCATAAATGGCCTGACCGATGGAGCTTCCACATGCTGAGAGACAAAATGTGTTTTGCTCTGTAAACAAACCTGTTTTTCACTAAATAGTCTCCTAGTGATATCACTAAAGACGTTTCAGGCCAGGCCTTTTTTATAAATGATCGGTGGACCAAAATGGAATCCTGCTCCAACACCAACACTAAATGTGACGTCTGATTGCATCACAAGCATTGTTTATTGTTCATTGTCTGTGAAGAATGTGCTGCGCTGCTGATGAGATTAATTGACTGAAGAAACATTACATTGCTGAAATTCTACAAAAGACTGAATGTAAATCAGAAGATTGCCAAGAAAACACAATCATTAAAGATAACAGGCACCATTTATGTTTATGGTAAAAACAATGAATGCAGGGCCTATTTATGAGGAGCAAGGTGTTCACAATAAAATCTGCGTAGTTTATTCTGTATTTTGTACTGTCTGGAGCCAGCACCTAAGCTTTTCACTCATCATAGCACACGTGCTGCTGATGATGTGACAATAAAAGTGATCTGATTTGATTTGATTATATGCGAGGTGAAAGACTATCTAAATCGATTCAAGGGTTGTGATGGTACACCAGTAGTAGGGTTTGAAAGTGTATGGTTTTCATACCGTTAACATTTTTATATATACAGGTTGATATAAAAAAAAATTGCATGTTTACATGGACACCAATAATCTGATTTAAATACGTTTAAGACAAAACTCTGATTAAGATACTACCATATAAACTTTTTTAATTAATTTATTCTGATTAAAGTCATAATCGAACTAAACAGAAATCGGATTAAGTGGAGTATGGCGCATTTTAGTCGCATTATTAAAGTGCAGAACAGACATGTAAACACCTTAATTGAAGTATTACCGTCATGTAGGACGTTAGGATAGTCTAGACACACAGCTGTTTTACACTACTCTCTGCACCTACCGAGACAATGAAGGACCACAGACACCTGCATCCCGAAATGCGGAGGTGTTTTTCCCATACGGCGTTCGGTATCAAATTCCATTAAAACTATCCTCTTGCAGCAGTTCATACTCGCATCTAATATCTCGTTTGTCATGGTGGCATGCATGAAATTTTTCCGAATGAAAGTGAAAGTACCAAAAAATTCCGGGAGACAGAACAAAATGGTAGATGGGTCTGAAATACGGTAGACTCCCGAAAAAAGAAAAAAAACAGGATTTTTGGCAGGTATGCATATTATTGTCTTATTCAGATTAAGGCAAATTATTTGATTATTGATGTCCATGTAAACGTAGTCATTGTGTGTATATGAAACTGTCTGCTTGTTGAAAAGGCCAGGTATAATTGGCGTTCTGATTTGATGCTGGTTTGATTGACAGCTGGGTCTGGCTCGCCCAGAAGACGCATACCATTTCCGTTCCTGTAGCCGGACATTGCAGTTCAATACATTCTGGCCAACAGCTCAATACAGTGGCTTATTGTGTGTGTGTCACGAGAAGTAAGTGTTCATGTCTTCTGACTGTGTGCTTCTAACACTTAGTATATGGGTTTAGTGTTGTAACGCAAACTTTGAATGACGATCGGACCGCATGATTGCAATTACGTCATCAACGCGGGTGATGCGCGATTCCGAGCAAACGCCATTATTAACGACGCACGTGTTATCCCCGCAAGTTTATATACCATTGAATTGTTTTGATATGTAAATAAGTAAAGTATTAAGCAATGCCATGTTTACTCAGTATTTGGGCATTGGATCTGTC